ATTTTACCTGTCTTTTTATTATTAGCATAAATTCTGGTTACATTGCTACATTGACACTATGAAAAGCATCGTTACACAATACAAAAAAAGGCAAGAATGTCGCATATTGTTTATCAAGACATTCCGCAAAATATATTCTGACTTTATTTACATTTATTGCATGTATCATGTTTTTAAATGAAGACCATTTTTGTAAAATAATTCGTGTTATGAAATTATTCTCAACCATTGGAGGTGAAAGTGACAGAATTTCTTGTACTGAAATCTGAATATCATTCACCTTTGACTACAGGCAAAGTGTTAGCAGAATCTCTAGTATGACAACATTTTTATCATCGCCATATGAATTTAATTATTGTTTTCAATCTCTGTATGAATGAAATGAAACAGTGATCAATTTTCATACATTTATTGTTGTGAGTGAAGGTAACCATATTGCATTTTGTCAATATGGCTGTAGTGTTGTCGCGTGTGTGTATTTCATCTCATTCCACTTCAGTTCTTCTATGCCTACAAGATGTATCAATTATTTTGCTACCATAGATATGTATGTATAAAATAGATTTTACCGTGCAGCTATAAATTGTCAGTCCATACCATAGATATGTATGTATAAAGAGTACCATATATGGAATTAGCATTATTTTTGTTTCATTTTTGAATTCATTATATATAGCGCTGAAAAATGTAGTTAGTTAGTGAAATCCATACATCGTTTTGTTGATTAACCCATAAAACTTCACTCATAAATCATTCCCATGGGCCTTGTTATTTGAAGTGAGGCATAGTTGACGTCAGCCTGCCCTCAAGTGGTAGCTTAGGGTAGTCATCAGCTTTTATGTATAAACACAGTTCCCTGATCGATTCATTGTAGAAGTAGATTCCTGTCATGAATGGGCGGAGATTATTTTCATTAACTTGCATATACAAAAGAGCTGCTGGTATATATTTATAGCGTGGATATTGCAACTATTTAATGTAATGCTGGTTGCATTAACGTTCTATTTACTGCGGTATAAACTCCTTTCAATAGAGGTGTAATTGGAAACCTAACCAATGTATTGTGAGTGTATTTTCAACTTTATCCTATTCTATGTAATATCCCTATCATAGTAAGTCAATGAATTCCATTTTACACCTGAAGATTGCCTTGAAGTGATAGAAACTTAAGTTTTGCATTGTATCCATCCACAGTTCCATCTAGAATGCATGTATTTTATTTTTTGTTTCCTGACGTTTTTCTCATAATGTCTTTTTTCAGTTTTATGATGATTTTTATTTTTAAATTGGATAATTCATGTTCATATGTTTTTTCAGCCAATATTGTGTGTTTCCAATTTGTGTTTGTTTCACTAATTTCAGTATCTTGTTAAAATTTTAGATGTACGAGGAATTAAGAGGAAAGCGGATGGAATGAACATTTCTGTGCCTACCACCCAACCTGTTATTCCCGCTGCTACGGCCGTATTAACTGTTCCTTCTGACCTAATACAGCCTTTGTATTGTAAACTATGCTCTGTTAGTTTGAACTCTTCGCAGCAAGCCATGGCACACTACCAAGGTAAAAACCATGGTAAAAAAGTGAGGCAATATTTACAGAAACAAGGGCAGGTTTTACTACAGGTTCATCTTCAAGCTCAACAAAAGCAGCTTCAACTACCAGAAAACAAAGTTGCTATTTTACCTGAACAAAATGGTGTCCAGAAAAGTAAGGAAGCAGAAGAAAACCATGTCATCAAAACCGAAGTGAACAAATCTCCCACCCATGTTGTAATGCATTCAAAACTTGCCAGTATGGATGATTTCTGTAAAGTCTGTGCCGTATCTTTTAATTCTCCGACTCAAGCTCAGTCACATTATCAAGGAAAAAGTCATGCTAAGAAACTGAAAAGTGTTGAAAGTCCACCGCCAGTTATTGATAATAATAATACCATAAATCAGGAGTCAACATCACCCAAGTAAGTGCACCATTTTTATCAGAAAATTATTTTCCCGCCCAAATATTTTCATATTTTCCATTTTTCTGATTTTAATTTTGAATCAGACAGAACAAATTTTAGATTTAGATGACAATGTTTGACAATGACTGGAAAATATAAGTTTTCTTTATAAATTTCAGCAAAAACAAAACATTAAACTACAAAATTGTTTGTTGTGTTCAATTTAATTCTTTTTAAATATGTTAATTTATATCTGGGAATATTGTATTAATCAATAATCACTTTATCTAACCTCGTAAATCATAGAAGTAGCAAACATGGTGCTAATATAGTCGAGCAAAACTTACTGACGTCAAATTGAAAACAGATTCAGTCGGAGAAAGTGATATTTGTAATTTTTTTTTTAGAAATTTGTATACTGTCAGCTGATTTGATGTCATCATAATTGAAGCTTATTCCACAAACTAGGAACCTGATATGTAAATAAATGCAGGCCATATTTAGTAGTATTATCAGATGGTAAATTACAAATTCTTATAATCTTTTAAATTCATATTGTTTTGATTTTGGGGAGCTTTATTATCTAGTACCATTATACACCATCTTACATGTATTATGTTGTCTTTGGAAAAATAGACAGTTTGGCTCATTTGTAGAGATTCGTAACTACATGTACACTTGTAATCAGAAAAGACAACTCTTAGTGCGCTATGAATATCATTGTAATTTTTGGTCAAAAATTTGAATTGTTGACTTCTTCTTGAAAACCCCCACCCCAATTGCTTTGATAGTTGGTATAAGTATACTTTTGGTCACAAATATTTTTTGTCATTTTTGGTGAAAAGTACTACAAGTATTTGACTTCTTTTGATAACTGCTAGTTTAGTTGATTTGATATTAGTTATATACATGTTTGTATGTGTACCTTGGGAGGACCTATATTTGACTATTTCATTTTTGACTTATCCTATAAACAATGAATCCAAAACCTGGGTACTATTACTGTAAAATACTTTATTTTCGCTTGGAATTAATTTTTGCTATTTTTTCTGAAGGAATAATTCAGTGAAAATAAAATCCAGCAAATATGCTTTTTTCCTATATTTTACATTCAACTTGTCAAAAATCAGTGGAACACCCAAAATGACTTACGGTATCAGCGAAAATTAATTCCAGCTAAAATAAAGTATTTTACAGTAAATTTATCCTTATCAGTAATAAGAACTAAGTTGAGACACTTATTAAATAGAATGTACATGTCTACAAAACCAAAGTTATAGACAAGATATGATGCTCTGATATTTCAACCATCAGGTCACCTGTTAAGTTATTAATGTAATATTTATGTCAGTCTGTACTGTAATATTGCATGTATGGCAGAGTGAAGCCATTATAGAGTGTCAGATTGACGTTCATTGGAATGATCTTAGGGTCTCAAAACAGCCAAGTGTTTGCTGTCACATGTTGGTCAATTTTTAGTTTATATTATCAATGTTAAAGTCAATAGAATCTTCAGCATAGATTTTGGTGCTGCCTATTGTGATGTTAAAGTGAAAATATAATAATGTCAGGAGGAAATAATGGCAACAAAAAAAAACAAAAAGTCCATCTCACAGTCTACCAGACTACATGACATTAATTAAACCAAACAACTTGCTTACAAGTGTTTTTAAATCATTAAATTATAAAACCCAATATCAGATATAAAAAAAAAATATATATATTTGGTC